CATGTAGGGATGTGCAAAACTGATGACCGACTTAACGACACTTAAAATGAATTTCCGTTACGCCATGTTTTATGCGAAAATTTCGAAATTTCTGTGTCTACTCAATTCATTAGAAGGCCTGACACAGATCACTGCTCTAAATTAATTCAACGTGCAGTAATTAATTACAATAAAACTGTATTTTTAAAAATGTTTTAGACCGATTTCAGTCAGCCAGCCAAAACGTCAACTGTACATCACCGGTCAATCATAAATCCGTACATGACCGGTTAGTTTTATTCAGGGAATTTTAGTACGAGTTATTACGAGCATGTTTCAAAAGTTTACCATGAATTCGTTTTTCTGTCTGCCCTGATTCACAAAGCTTCCTGTCCGGACAGTCCAGCACATACTCAAGAACTGATAACTTCTTTTTGAGCTCCTTAACTGCTTCAGCTGAAAGGCTCATTTCCGAGCTGTGTGTATCGAGGCGCCGTTCCTGCTGTTCCGTCTTGACCCTAAGGTCACTCATCACTTTCGCTGCCTTCTCCACATCAGTGACACGGTGATTTACGCTTTCCATCTGGGCATGTAAGAAAAGCGTTGTCTTGTTTAATTGATTCGCCAATGATTCCGAATAACTGTTGTCGGCATGATTCTTATCCACTTCAGATGTGATGGTAGTAATATACTCTGGGATTCCGTTGCCAATGCGCAGAGACAAGTAGCCAATAACCGCCGAGCTGCGTAACCGGGTTAGGTCCAAACAGTACCGGGCAGATGAGCCGTTGGCGATCATCGGATGACCCGAAAAGCAGGCCAAATCTTTGTCATCTGATTGATTGCCCGCAGTGCTCTGCGTTCCTTCGGCTTTGTTATCTGGTTGGACTTGTTCGTCTGGCGAAGACTTGCTGCTTCCCATGCTAGCGGTCAATTTATCCGTGCCTGTTTTATCAAGCATCAGGAAACCAATAACTCGCTCGACGAGATCATCTACAAGTGTCACTTCCATAAATTCATTACCGTCAATCTCCGGTGAAACAACACACGCAACAATATCTCGTGCAATCTCCTTGAGATCCTGTTCGTGGACAAACGCCCGACCAATGGCGCTGCAGCGGATGTCGATGGCGTTGAATGTAGGAGAGCACAGTGCATGCCTGAAATCAATACTGGCAAGGACTCTTCGAGTTTCCGGCGGCTGGAAGCCGAAGGACAACACCAACGTTTGAGCAAACTCCTCACCGTGGTCTTTCATGGAATCAGCAATACATGGTACAATGTTGTTCCGTGTGGCACTTGATACGCCCAGTCGCTATAGCTGGTGGCGAACTGCCCATGAGTGTCCATTTGTCTTCCACGCGCTCCTCCAGCCAGTACGGGTACGTTGAACTTAGGCGAAAAACGGAGAACGGCATCGGTAACAGATTAGGACGCTCGTTCCTACCCATCCACTCCAACAAAAGGACGGTCGCTGCCTCCAGATACTGCTGATCCCATAGAGTGATTGCAAAGGTTACGCAAGACTGTGTGCCACGTCCGTGTACCACGAGGGTGGAATTGAGACTAATGGAGGGAGACGGCATAAAATAAAAGGTGTTGTCCAGTCCGGCGGCGTTGTACAGTGACATGATACGGCCCCGGTACGGGAAGGTGAACGTAGGAGCTGTCATGTTTACATAGTCTAAAGACATCACCAGTATACTGATTAGTGATTACTAAACCACGCGGAGACACTGTATAGTACAAGCAGTCGTAATACGCTATTAAAGACTGTCAAGCGTATTACAAATTATGCAATACCGCATACCGGTACCACGCATATACAGAGCACTGTACCGTACACCTACGCGCTAAAAATCAGTGCGCTACCCGCCTTAGAACCAGTGGTGCCTGGCAAGTGCTTAAACTTTCAAAATTCAGCCATATCCAAATAAAGAGCGGTTCTACATAATTCCGCGTACGTACCAATTTATCGACGAGCACGTTTGACGCCAGCACTCACTGTTTCCGCGTCACCATCCTGATGTGGAGCGGTGGAAGAGAAGGAACTATCGCTTCCGACTACCGTAATAAGCAATACAGACATCAGAAGTGCCAAATAAATTAGCACAGGGAGCATTATGGACATGGTTGGCATTTGTACAACAAACGAATCTGCAGTACTAATACTCGTACGGGTAGTTAATACGTAAATGCCAACAAAGAATTTACTTTTATGGTGTGCTGTGTTCGAACTTTGCAGCCCTCTTTTTAGGCTCTTTACTGACCGTAAGCTAAAATGGTGAAAACGAAAGCGACTGGAAAGGCTAGAAATGGAAGCCAAGCTGGTTTTAATTTATGTTGTGTGCAGTGCGCACTGTGAATGCCAGACATTCCATTCATTGTTGCTCCGCAGTTCGAATAATATTTTGCATTCCAGAATTCCAGTTTCGAATGCAACGATCAAACCCGCCTATCGGCAGACTCACCCGGTCACGGTATTTTGGTGCACAACTGCATTGCATCATGTACTGTACAAGTACCACGGGTGCATGTGAGAAATAGCCACTTTAAGCTAATTGGGATTTTTAAACTGCATGTTAGTTAATTACAGCTTATAAGTAAAGCTGTGGGTCTTTTAGCAATTATTGTAATCCGTGTACGGTTCCATCATACTATAAATTCAAAAGTACGCAGCCTTCTGGCTGACCGGCTATGAATAAACTGTATGCATACACTGTATGAATTGTTCTAGCACATACTGTACATAAGTATTAAATCACTATTAATTATACGATAAGTAACGATACACATTTGTACGTAGTAATCCCCGATTTACTGTCCACGCATCGACAGGGGAAACAGTCAAAGTAATAACCAAAACATTTCTTTTTTTAAAATGGTGATTTTAAAACATTCACCAGGCGGTTCATGGACTACACGTACTACAGCTAACAACAATACTGCTATACAGATACAAAGTATGCGGTGTCCATCTAGCATCCAGACATAATAAAATCAGTTATCTGTGGCGTTATTATTGTTGAATTGTACTCGCAGTCCATAAAAATGATAAAGTTGATGGTAGAAGTATTGATTTCGCGTACGTCGTGCGAATCTCAACGCCTGACCTTTGTTTGTTAGATGTGCACATTGTGCAGTATGTAGTGAACCATACAGTCTTAAGTGCAGCACTTGCCGGGCCTGTGAATGTGCAGTTGTTGCATCAATTATTTCTTGTTATTGCATCAGTTATGATATTTTGTACAAATAGCCAAGGAATTCTAATCACGGTTCCAGCATCCCGAATCGTGCGGCATAAGTTGTGCGTTGTGGTTGGCAAAACGGCGCGCAATCTCATGATCTACAGTAGCAAATCGTAAAGCTCTTCGGAAAGACCAGCAATGGGAAATAGTTTGTGACGTATTATTGATCATACACCGTCAACGTAAACAGCGGAAACATCGACAGTATATTAACATACAAACACAGCCAGCATCAATCAACATCGAACACTAGGCGGCTGATTGTTAAAAACATGGGCAGATCTCATTACAGGCAAGCCGCAAGCGTACATCTTTACCGCGAGGGTGATTGCCAGTGTCTGGATTTCGGAAAATTCATCCAACATTAATCCCGACTGATTTACGAACAGCTCTTATAATCTATAATAGTTATACAGCATGCCGGTGTCAAACAAAAACGCCATGGAGGTGGATACAGCCATACAGGGGTAACTCAAACAATCTAACAGTCTTGTCAAAATTGTGTTCTGTACAGACTGTACCTACTACCCACCCAAGAATAAGTTCTTTCTCCAGAGCTTTAATTAGCCTGGTAGAGAGGTATTTCCACGTTAATGCCATCATCTCAGGTAATAAAAATGGGAACAGCAGAAAGTAAGATAAGAGAAAGGTGCCAAAATGAAAAAACGAAGTTATAAATCTTCCCAAAGCACAGAGGCGAATTCCTGCTGAGTTTGCCAATGGCCGCTGCAGTTTGGATCAGTTAATGTGCACGATGAGGAACTGCCAGAAACAGATTTGGGAATTTGGGATGACGCAAGGTGCCGTACTTTCCTGTTGCGCCGTGTACACATTCTAGAATAACTAGGGTAGATTAAGAACATCTACGATAGAAAAGCCACCTGATGAATCAGTAAGTACGGAAATAGGAATTTGGGGCGCGTAATGTTTTGACCAGGAAGGATAGTCAGCCCGTGCCTGTGCAGATGGAAAAGGAAAGCGGCGCGACTCTTCAGGTGTAAATGTACAGTAATGTAAATGTAATGTAAGCCATATTCATAGCAGTATACAATAGTGTTAATGAGGTATTGTATTTACGTAAACACAATACTTCGTTAAATATGCATCGATATGTACGTAAATACAATTTATTGTTGGTGCAGTATACTGTACTATATGGGCATTTCGTTTGTACGTAGTAGTAGCAGTAGGTAGTGATAGGTACACAGTTTGTTGTTAATCGACTGCGATTCCCGAATGCGATACAAATAGCTGCGTAGTCAGTTGGCCCACAAAGTGCGTTTACTGAGCGAAAGGTCGCTGGAAAAGTTCTAGATGATTAGGGAAATGGGAGAAGAGGTGTGGAGATGTACATTTTGTTGATCTGCATTCACTTGCAGGGATAGCTGAGGAGCTGGAAACGACGCGAGAATAAGCAGCATGCAGTATTGTCGTAAACAAGGCGAACCATTTTCGAAAATCGCCCAGATAAGGTTCTGAATTTCTGATGCGAAAAAAAATCTGTACTCTGCACTCTGCACTCGACTGATCGTCATCAGGCCTTAATATTTAATTTATTATATTCGGGATTGCTAAGTACTAAATAGATGTGTTATCAACTATGGCGGAGCTTTGAAAAGACAAGCAAAAACACGCATCTACGAGAGTAAGATAGAGGCATAGAAACAGTTCCCTACGCACGAAGACCTGAACATCTGCGCCTCCATCTTCAGCGATGACCAGAGTTCGAAAACTCAGGTGCTGTTTTTAATAAGTAAAAATGACCGACCAGCATTACGACAAAAACAGTAAGGCTTGAATTTCTAAAATTAACCACCAGTTAAAGCCCATTAAATTTCTACTATAGATGCAATGAAAGGAAATAATAAGAGCCGTTATAACACTCAAAACAATCTTATACATGTTGCTAAAAGTATGCAAGTTAACAACACATCGGAAGAACGCAGCGCATTTACCACTAATCCTGGTGGAACTATTTCGAAAGCCGATTAGCTAAATCATGTTGGTCGCTCATCATCACAAACCAAGCAAATTTTTAGAAAAAAAACCGGCGAAAAAATTCTCGGACACTGTATCCGCGGGACGCATCGCCATCCCTCTGCCGTGGCGATGGTGTACGTTTCCGCATATGATGAGGCGGATCCCGCGGCAGCGGATTACGCCCCATCGGCGGCCGTGCAGGTCCTTCATAGCGCGGTACACGCCCCGAGGGGCCTCCGTACTGGGCCATGCGGCGGTCTTCGTACTCTCGCATGCCCTGCCAATAACCGATATCGCGTCGACATGGGCGTTTCGACTCATGACGGTCATAATCCCTATACTCATCATGGCCATCAAAACCATCCAGCAGACGCTGTACGCCATTGCGCTTCCTGGTCGCCCTAATGGTCCCGGGCTGCTTGGGAGAGTAGCAAATCTCCGTGTGGCGCTGCTGTTGGGCATGCGCATCCTGCACCACATCCACCATATCCCGAATGGCTTTTCCATTGATAGGCAACTTATAAAGTGACCGGATGGCGTCCTTAATGTCCTTGGCGGTAATCTGGCGATCGTCGTCTTGATTCTGCATGGCTTCTTCCAGGATGCGCTTCTCTTCGCGGTACGCATTTACCATTTTTTGGTAGTTAGCTAGGCTGTCACGACTGGCCCCGATGGCGATCTTCTCGTGCTCCGCTGAAATCAAATAGCGCAGGTACTCTTCCATGGCATCGTTGTAAGGCAGCATGGCGTTCATTTTCAAGAAATAACCGAACTTGGCCGACACCTTGCGGATCTGCTCTTCCTCGGCTGTCAAATTCATTTTACGCTGCTGTAAATCATGCAGCAGCAATTCCACGGCCGCAATCTGCCCGTCCTTCTGGCGCAGCAGATCCTGAATGTGCGGATCTACCTTCTTGATTTCCGTCTCCTGCAATTCGTAGGTGATGTGCATATGCTTCTCCCAAGAGCACTGGCAACGCGCACACGATACACCGCCCGAGGCCGACATGGCTGTGCAGCTTTTCAATCCCGGCTGCGGATACTGGTTGGCCTCAATCTCCTTCAAGTAACAGTGGTTATGGCACCACGTGATATAGTTGACCTTTTGGCCCACCATCTTAATGCACTTCTGGGAGATGCACACGGTCCGCGGGAACCCCAACGGCACCGGCTCCAAATCCAGCACCGGGACGTACAGTTTGCGCTTCAGTTTTTCCCGGCTGTACTTGGTCGCTTTGATTTCGTCGGCTTTGTCGTCCGCCAGTTTCAGATTCACCTGGATGTTCCGCGTGATCTGTGCCAAGGGTTCCGTAAACGACAGGATCATGCGGCGCGCTTCGTTCAACGACAGCGTATTCTGCAGCGGATGCGGCGGACGCTCTGAGATGTACTTGAGCAAGCGTTCCGTCTCCTCCACAGACTTCTCCCAGCTCTTAACGAAATTCTCCTTCTCCGTCTGATCAAATTCCACCCCGGCCTTCATGGCGGCCATAAATCGCACGGCTTCACTATCGACGCAGTACACTGTGTCTTTGTTCAGCAAAATGTTCAGTTTCGAATCCTGGATCAGTTTCTTCAGAATCGGCATGGTGTCACCCGGCCGGTAAAAGGTCCCGCGAGCGTTGGTGAAGATGAAGGTGATGTTATGGCAGGCGTCGCGGTGCAGGTGCGTCAGGAGTTCCTTGATACAGAACTGGAACATAACCGTCAGTCGCGCACTGTTCGGCTTCAGCAGGATACTGATGCCGTGCAGGCTGTCGTAATTGGACAGATGCTGCATGATGCTGACGAAGTTCTTCTTGTCCTGTTCCGTTCCGCGGGTGTCCCCGATGCCGGGTGTGTCGATTAAGCGGACCAGGATGTTACCCTTCTTGAAGACGTAGCTTTTGGGCATCTGGGTGGCGGACTGACCGGTCATGGTGTCCTCGTTCTCCGGCGCGGTCAGCGCTTTCATGATGATGACCTTCTCGTCGAAGTTTCGATCCATCGTGGTGAACTGCGCTGGAATCAAATATACCGGTTCCGCCAATGCTTCGTCCAGGGTGGCGTAGGTGAGAAAGTTAACGAAACCGTTGATCCAGGTTGACTTTCCGACGCCAGTTTCACCTGCCGGTTAAAAGGGTAATAATTTAAATGACCACTGTAATTATCACGTTGTTACACGCAAATCCATGCGAAACAAAGCCTCTGTACGCATAATGGTATTGCAATGGTGCAACCAATTACGGTGTCACCAATTAGAATTGTGAAAATTTATAATATAGGGAAACACGAATTAAATAAAAAATTTAAATCCAAATATCATTTATATGTTATTCTACTTCTCAAATTTAAAGCATCCTCCATCGTATAAGCCTCTCACAGGCCTTCTTTAATATTTAAAAGTTCAGGGCTTCTAATTTTAAAAATACGGAAGATAATTTTGTAATATGTACTGTATAAGTTTATTATTTCTGTGTGTGAAATCTGATCTTAGATGCAACAGTTTTCCCAGCTCACCAAGAATTAAGATGTCCTTGAATTTCCTTGAAAGGTTTCACGTTTTTCAGCACCGTCTCCACATCGCTAAAACCAACGTACTTTCGGCCATGCCGTGCTTTCCCACAATGGAAGACAAAGAAATCTGCCGGCGCTTTTCCACAGTCACAATACAGATGCCCATCAAACCCGTATTCCAGAGCCTGGTTGCACTTGGCACACTTCCAGCGGTGCAGTTCCTTCTCCGCGCTGCAGCCGTTCGGGCACGGCAGCTCTGCGTTCCCACGTTTCTTGGCTTTCGCACTCGGTTTGGCGCCCAGCAGGGACTTGGCGGTGGGCCCACTAACATCGCACCGATTCAGCGCTAGTATGTTCTCGCAGATTAGCTGTCCGTGTTGGTAATGCTGCAGTGTGGTGCGCTCCCCTTCCTTGCCCACACCGGGCTGGACGCGATGACCCACCAAGGAGCGATCGACAAACACAAACATCCACTGCTCCTTGGCACCGGCAGCCTGGTCCATCAGACGGAAGAACGTCGTCAACGCCTGGCTCCACTCCTCGCGATCATCCCGTCGGGCCGGCTCGCTGGACCGCAGCACGTACACATTGGCCACTCGGCGCATCTCAGTCATCAACTCTGCGGAGATCTCGCCCAGGATCAGCACTTTATGGGTGCGCAGAATGTCCAACAACTGCTTCTTTTCGGTAATGGCATAATTGGGGTGTGAAGCCGATGGGTCAAGATCGAGAATGGCAAGAGGGTGCGGCATAAGTGCACGAGATTGGCTGCCCTTGTGGCAACTGGGCTGTTCCTCATTGCTATCATTTAACATCCGACTTTCCGCTGCTTTCTGGGACGTCTGAAAGTACGGCAAATATTTATCAGGTGGAGTTAGCTCTACTGTAGCGACTGGCATAGCATGCAAGTACTTATTAGGTCAAAGATTAGGTAGTGTAAAAGTCATTCGCTAAGATCAAAGTGTAATAGAAAAAGTAGCAAATACTTCAGTGTACTTACACACTACCCTAGTAGACTATATTATCATAGGTCGGAATTCAAGTAAAGCTTTTTACCGGAAGTACACAACATGCCCAATCTTAATCATAATCATATAATATAATCATAATTATATAATAACTGCGTCGAACACGGTTAACCAAAGCCGTTAGAATGCACAATGCTCTGTATGAATAACCGGTATCATTCGGCATTTAAACAATAGTCAATACGCACCTTTGCCGGGTCATTGTAATCCGTCGGCTGGTTGGCTTGATCCAGTGAGCGGCTTTCTTTATTGCTCCGACGCCGATGTACCGGAGCATCCAGGGCTCCTCTGCATGGCGAGTCGCTCATTCTCACTACGACGACCTCTTGATCCATTCCACTCGCTTTGCACTGACTGCAATTTTGGCCAGTTACATAAGTTGCAATATAATATTACAACGCTCGATTTTTTTAAGTATATAATCATCAATAAGTACAATAATTTTTACAGTTAACCGGAACAGGGTTAAAAAACTAATGATTATAAACATTTCCATGGACTTAAGTGTTACGACGTTCCCTGTAGTATTGTTAACCCACCGCGAATGTACGAGGCTATATTACCAATAAAAGTTATTTAATTAGTACTAATAATTACAATATTTTTTCTGAAACGTTACGTTACTAATCCCCAGATCGAATTTGTCGTGTTCTACAGACTCGTGTTCTACAGACACAGTCTAGCTGTACTCTGCTAGCGCAGTGTCTGCGGTCAGTCAACACTACTAGAAGCAAAGCAAGAACTTGCTTTTTAGCATCCGTCGTCTTGATGCTTAAAGCAGGCGCGTGGGCATGGCACGGTGGCTTATGATCGCTAACCGCTTTATTTAAAGATGATCTGAGTTAGGCTTTTAGATGCAAAAGCTATACGAGTTTTGCAAGTAGCACCAAATGAAAATAAAAATTACAAGATTTCCGCGAGTTGAAGTTCACGTTCACGCTGCTGGACGATATTTCATACTAGGAAAATCGACCACGTTACAATCAATCGGAAGAAGCGTACTGTATTTTATTCGTAACTCCTACACGAATACTCGTACGTCAACTGGTAAATCGAATCTTGCAGTTCTGTGCGCAGTTGCGGTTGGCTGGTTTTCTTTGTGCAGCCAATTCACATTGCGAAGGGCGGCGTGCGGAAATCCCCACCTGTTTCCATGACCAGCCAATCAATTAGTTAAATAGGGTAATACTGGGTGACCTCTTGATGAATCACTGTGCCCATGACATCAATCATCAATGTTGTAAACGCACGTATTAAGCCAGAACTTGCCAATTTATTACGTACGGGAAATTACGCACTGACTCAAAAGTCCGGATGACTACCGGGTACGAGTACTAGTACTTTGACTGGAAAAGGCGCCAAGCCAGTTGGAACGATGGACCGATATCCCTGGTTTTTCTTTATCCGATGTAAATACTGTTGACGTACTTATTTCGTAGATATCCCATCACTGCTTTCTTTGAGTATGTGCCAGAATGTCTAGAAGCTCTAACAGATTTACTTACGTAGAAGCATTAGAACAGCACACATCTACCCTACGAGCTATAGGTAAATCGTTGGCAGTTGGCCTGCCTTGTCGGGACGTAGCACCGGAAGTAGGCGTGGCTTGTAAAGTTGTACTGTACATATCGCCATGCTTAGCTGCACATGCAGACTGCAGTTTAGAATACAAGAAAAAATCAACATCTCTGATGTTATTAGCGTACTGAGGCAAATCGTACCTTTAGTACGACGGCGACTACGCAAAGGGCACATCACGTAAATAAACTTTTACTTGTCTGAATCTAAAAATGTTAGTATGCAATATGTTAGTATGTTAGTGTGTTAGTATGTTTGTACATATGTCAGTATGCAAAAAATGTTAGTATGCAAGAATCGGAGCTGCAAATGTCCAGTTATCGTGCAAATTTGCAATACTGTCTGGTGGTATGATATCTATATTCATACCACGAACGGTATTAGAGCATCGTTTGCTCATACTATCGCTGGCTTCGCAAGTAATTAAATGTTTATCGCCTATTTCGCGGCACTATGGGTGTATTACAAACTCACTATCCTATAACGGTCTCCTGCTGAAATATAAAACTAATTAGGTGCCAATACTGGCTCCCACTTTGCAAAACAAGCTATGATTATGATGTGAGATGCCTTAATCGTTATTTCGTATGGCTATGCTGAGAATGCACCTTCGGTGCTCGATTCTTCCGGATGTACGCAAAACAAATTGAAATGCCGTCTTACGGCTGCCCCTTATTCTGCTCGCACCAAGAAGAAGAACTAAAATCGCAGTTTTATATCGTACTTCATGGAAACTGGGCAATACCAATGTAAGGTTCCATGAATTTCTGAATGTTTAAATGTGCCTCGCAGGCACATGGACGAGGGCGAGTGTTAAGGGATTTGGCCCGGTACATAGCACCAAATTTGTATACATCCACTGCAACTTTCGCTGTCGCGCACTCCCAAACACTTCTTTTGCATGGCTTTATGGTAATATGTAGCCAAAGGATTCTTATGCACAGGCGAAAAACCGTTTGTGCGCGCAGCATCCGGTTCGGAAGTTATTAGTGAAATAAAATTCCAAAAGTTTAAACGCGCGGAGGTGTACCAAAAGTCTCATTATGAACCGATGCTCTTCAAATTTTGCACAAAAAGGCACATTACTATGAAGAGCGTTTTGGTACCGAACCACCTTTCTACCATTTTTTTTAAATTTTAAATTAATTTTTAAAATTTTTGAAATTCATTTTAAAATTTGAAAAAAATGGTAGAAAGCTGATTCGGTACCAAAACGATCTTCATAGTAATGTGTTTTGTAGACCATGCCCAAAACGGATTCCGGAAGATATGTGCCGAAAACCGGTAAAATGCTGACGGTCAGACCGCGAATGCGCACCAATCCACAGCTGCCGGCAGCTTTCCATGCACTAATTCCGGCATGACGTCCATCATCGTTAAACTTATGGCAAATGCCACGGTCCAAACACAGAGCAATACAAGAAGTAAAATCCGGGGAGTGGACAATCTTGTATAATGATGGGGCAGGGCAATGGCGACAAAGCGGGTGAATGGCAACCCAAGTGCTGTCCAGTTGGCGGCGACGATGATACGCAGTGTGACAACATCAAGTACTGCACATGCATATGCGAATTTTATTTGTCTTTGCGTTAGGAATATGGGAAATACTGGTTAACGGCATGGCCGCTACACAGAAAACAAAAACCAGCGTCTGTGAATGGGCAACTAATATTCCGGAACCGTTCCGTAATTTTGCGCGGTCGGTACATTGCGATCACATACAAAACAATGAGCACAGCACCGACAGCCGATGAGGAAGTCAATGGTAATTCAGGCGGTCAGCGGGGTTGGTGAAATGAGTGTTGCAGCTAAAAGCGGAATCACCATTGAGATATTCAAAATGTTTGAGATCGTATTATAGAGCACTATTAGGTGCAAGCAGTTATCGGGTTATAATACAGTTATCGGGTTATAATACTCGTATAATAATGCAGTTGTAAAGGTCATGCAAAGGCATGAACAAGTTGATCAAAAACGTAAAACACTATCGAGCTTGTGTTAGTGTAAAGTTTTGCACTCCTATCCAAAATGTCTGTAAAGCCGTGCCTCAAATGCGAGCAGACAACCACCAACTTGGTGCGCTTTTAGATCTCATCTCCGCCGGGGATCTAACACATGCCCAGATCCCACCTCACTGAACACGGGTAGCTTTAAAAGTTAATGATTATCAAACTTAAAGGGTCGCAGTGGAATATTTAGCACACCTAACGCACAACTAGCATCTGCAGTAAACCATGTCTAAGCACTTTATTCCGCATGTAGTCACCCATAAATCTGACGAAACAGCTTCATCCTTTAATGGATATACCGTTTTTATAGCTCAACATATACATTGCTTAACAGAAAGAATCCAGAAGAGAAAGAAGAAGAGAAAGAAAGAAAGAAAGAGAAAGAATCCACGAGCCTCTATGATCGCGGTTGACAGGAGGTGATGACCGATTGCAAAAGCTTGGATGGGGACACAGGCATCTAAAGTAATATTTGCGCAGTATTTTAGACCTACACTGTGACTGTTTAGAACTTAGACTTATAAAACGTAACAGCTAATATTACAACGTTTTCCGAATATGCCCTTATTATCTGATGCCTATTGCGTAATTAAATTTTTATTAATATGTTTTTTTATTGTCAAAATTCACTGACCTTCTTATCGGCTATATTCATGGTCGAGCACGCTGGTTTTTCTTGTCTGTCCAAACCACAAACCAGAATCGTACTGCCGTCGATATTTAGGAAAGCGTCAACAACAGTGAACCGATTGGTTAATTTGTTGCCAATGTTCAGCTGATGCGCAGCGGAACCGGGAGAACTTGTGAAGATTTTGCTCAGTTGCGTTGGCTCTGCATGTGAATTTCATTATCAGCGCGTAGTGCTCCATAATATACCAAAACTCAAAGGGATTTGTTAGCAAAATAGTGGCTTAGTTCCCAGTAATCTTTGCCCACCACGGTGGAAGCGGATGCGGTGCCGGTAGCTGTGGCGACAGAACAGTCAAATTTGGGTGAACCGTCCACTGGGGTGCAGACGCCTGCTTGATCGAATGACTAAAAAAGCATAAGCATTATACGTAATAAAAAGTTAATACGCACATTACTGCCCCAATAAATCCGTACAATAAATTCAGAATATGATAACTGATAAAGCGCGCCCATAACGGTATTATCAATATACGTTAATAAAGTTAATGGTACTGTATGTCTCGATATTGCAAGGTTTAAAATTGAACTTCTGCCTAATCACAATCAAATTTGTAATACGTGTTCGAACAACTTTGACTTCGGAATTATTTATTCACCATTTCAGTCAGCTTACATTAATAATCCGAAATTCATCCTTTTGACGGCCGTTAGTCAGCTTCCATCTTACAATTGGTCCAGCTGGAGCGGCGACGAAAATCTTGCCAATGGGTACCGGTTTTTCGAGTAGAGATATCTGACCGGTGCCGTCTACACTGACTTTTACGACGCAGTTCCCTGGGAAAAAACCATTACACAGTAATTTTTTTTTTGCGCTGAATGGGTTTTAATTTACCATAGAAAGCATAAATTGGCGAGGTCAAATCGGTGGGATTTCGGCGGATAATCTGTGTTATACGGGACTGACAGATTGGTGCACACGTGTTGGGGATCGAAACAATCGATGCCTTAATACTCTCTTCGATTTCGGCCACATTCTTCCCCATCTCAAACTTCAGTTCACCTCCGCCGAGGGAATATTTCCCCCAGGAGTTAAGAAGTTTCCAGTACTTAGTGCCATTGTCGTCTTTGCACCAACCGACGATACGGATAGAGTGGCGGGTTTGGCGGTTTGACCTCTTCCTCTTGGGTATGTTCACCTCGGTAAGCACCTGCAGTTAACTATACAGTATAACTGCAGCTATTAGGCGATGTATAATACACGCTAGAGCAGTATGTCAACGGCATTGTCATGTCAACTAAAGTTCTTGCATAACTGCAAAATTGCCCATACATGTATTGATTTCAGAAGATATAAATCAATAAAGTATTGTAATTAGATACAAAATTATATATTACTGCACTGTGTCCAGCAAAGGCCTTGTTCGTAGCTGCATTGCCCGCCAAAAATAGTGCTCTGCATGTGCGCATGTGCTGCTAAGTTTCTGTTGAAGTATACGTATGATCCATGATCCATCGTCCTTACGTTGGGTCTGATATCACATATATGCACATGCCGCAACAAAATTAATTTAAGTACCATTAACTTTTATTGACAGCTTCAAGTGGAATGACGTAGAATTACTTTGTAAATTCCGAAGTGTGGTTGTTTGGAAACTTTTAAACTTCAGTAGCTTTACTGTGGGGCGACTATTACCTCTCGGAGAATTTTCTTACCTGCTTTCGGGTTCCATTTATACCAACTTTTGTACAAATATACATAAGCGACAACTGGGCCGTTGACTAAAATGTCTGTTTGTATGCGGAGAACTTGAGCATCAATTCTTTCTTGACTTCGGGCCTCTTGACCAGACGAGATCGCCAGAGGGCTGACGTAGTAACTGTCAACTACGAAAACACAGTCAGACGACAGACGGTGAATACCTTATACCCACTGCCACTTCTGGTAAAAGGTAAACAAACTTGATTAATTATTATTTCTTGTATTGCTGCGTACTGTAAGCGGTGTCTTCGACAACTGTCTTTTTGTCGTACTCTGGATTGGTGCAGGTGGGCGCACACGTTAACTGTAATGGGACGAATGGGTATGGCTGACAACCCTTTTGGCTGTGGTAATTGCCTCCGGTTATATAACCGCGTGTGGCAGCCCAGCGAAAGAAGTCCGACGGATAACCCGCAGTATCACAGCTGCAACCCCAATGGTAGAAATGCTGTGATCATTAATGCGATAATCAATGCCCCGTTTCATGTTGAGAAGATCCCTGTAATGCTGCATTCCTTATTATTATGGAGCAGTACAAAGGATTTGTGACCAGGGATACTATCAAATATCAGTGCTACCGATTTATACGAGTATCGGAGTATGAACACGCTTAACGGTTAGACCACAAATTCTCGTTAAACAAAATTAAAATCAAAGGTACTCACTTATCGTGGCCGCTTTTATTGGCGCGATCGAAACTGCAGCTGGCAATATATGACGCCGATGCGTATGTCTGGCTGGGTTCTTTACCGGCCGCTAATTCGCATATGCAAATCCGGTCGGACAACACGCTGGCGGATGCCACAGCCTAAAACATCACCCTGTGGCACTTTCGTCCGTACCGTATATGAGCTACAACCTCTACAGCTAGCACCTGGACGGATTTCTCACCCAACAACTGCCGCAGTGTGCTTGGTCACGGATATCCGAGATGCTTTTACACTGCGACCATTCCTCCCGGGCATCGAAGCATTCCGGAATCTCACCGACAGCCCGATGACGGTGAGTGGCGATGAATTTCGGCTGCTGCTTTAATTGTTCTGGTGTCAACGGAATTGTTCCGGGTTTCGGATGAAGCGGCTTGTCTGCGCTAGAGGTGCAATTAGCAGGTGAAACCACATGTCGAGAACGACACTTTTTAGACTTTATAGTAAGGTCACAGTTTACAGTCATAAAACTGGAAATGTATTGTCATACACTCACCAAGACGCAGTCAGTAAGAGTAACACCGGGAGCACCCTAGCTTGGGGCTGCATTCTGCATGCACAAAGTTAATAATTTCACACTATATTTGTGACCAAAGTGGGTACCAATACGAGTTCGAGAATACATAGAACGGTTTATTTATATAAATAAACGGAATTTCAGCTCTTTGTTTGTGGTGGTACATAAAACGCTGTGTGGGCAAGAAATTCCAGGGTTTATTTGGAATATCAGCAAAAATCTCACGTGCACTTAAGCAGAATGCTGAAAATGTCTAGCCACTTGGCTTCGCCATGCGGTTTTGTGGGTACTTTAACTGACACGTTTTCATCCTTGGTTTTTTGCTAAGTAGTTTTCTGCTAAGTGTGAAGTATGAAGAACTTTCTCCTAAGTAGTTTTCTCCTAAATATAAAGTATGGACAACTTTCTGCTAAGCAGTTTTCTGCTAAGTAGTTTTCTGCTGTGTATGAAGAACTTCGCAGAGTTATCTGCTAAATAGTTTTCGGCTAAGTATGAAGAACTTTCTGCTAAGTACGATCCGCAAATTCTAACAGTGCAGATGCTTTCCGGAAAGGTAACCGCGAAAGAAAACATGAATGACTGATTTCATGGCTTCTCCGAACTCACGGTTCTTTCATTTCAAAAACTTTAACATTTAGTTTTAATCGCCTATTAAGCAATACTTTGTACTACTAAAATGTATAATATCAATGCAATAATTATCGGTTCACACAGTCAGCACCCATGCCGATTTTGTTGCGAGGTTCACCATGAATTCGTTTTCAGTGTGCACTGGCTTGCACCGCTTCGTGTCCGGACTGTCCATCATATATTCAAGACTTGACAATTTCGGTTCGGGCTCCCTAATTGTTTCAGCTGAAATATTTACTTCCGAGCTGATGTATCGAGAAGACGACGTTCCCTGCTTTTCCGCTTTGACCCGCAGATTATCCACACTTTCGCTGCCTTCTTCACTTCAGTGACCCGGTGGTTCACGCTTTCCATCTGGGCATGCAGGAAAAGCGTTGCCTTACTGAATTGATACGCCAATGATTCTGAATAACTCTAGCCGGCAAGATTCTTCTCCATTTCAGATGTGATGATAGTCATATACACTCCAGTAATACAAGGTGGACGTTCTGGCGATCTGATGAACCGAGCAGGCACAATCTTCGCCCTCAGATCCATTGCCGACGATGCTTTGTATTCCTTCGGCTTTGTTGTCCGGTTGCAGTTGTTCGTCTGGCGAAGTCTTGTTGGTCCCCATCACCATGCCTTCGGTGAACTTATCCGCGCCTGTTTTATTAAACATCAGGAAGCCGAAAACCCGTTCGACTAGCCCATCCACAAGTGTTCGTTCCGTAAATTCGACACAACACATAATTGTGACAATATCTCGTGCAATTTCCTTAAGATCCTGTTCATAGACGTACGCATCACCAATGGCGCCGCAGATGGCAGTGAATATGGTAGAACACAGTGCGTCCTAAAATCAATATTGGCAAAGACTACGCGTTTCGGGCGGCTGAAACTGAAAGACAACACCAAAGGTCGAGCAAACTCCTCAGCTTGATCTTTCAGGGAATCGGCGATCATGGTGCAGTGTTGTGGCGTGCGGCACTTAATACGCCCGGGTACCATAGTCGGCGGTGTACTGCCCATGGGAGTCCATTTGTCTTCCACGCGCCGTCCTTCCGGTATGGGTAGGTCGAACTGAGTCGAAGAACGGAGGACGTCATCGGGAGAATACTAGGAAGTTTGCTTGGCTTGCCTTGTCGTGACGTACCCGGAAGCAGGCGTGTCTCGTACAGTACGTACCGCCATGTTTAACTGAACATGCAAACTGTAGTTTAGAATACTTATGTGATAGTGTACAGTAATTATAATATGAGTTGTGTATATTCGTCGTCATACTAAAGGTACGCATATGCCTCAGTACGCTAATTCCACCAGAGTTGATTTCTCATTGATGTTGACATCCTTGTCTGAATCTTGGAATCTGGGCTGTTAAGAATCTGGGCTGTGAATGTTGTTATCATGCAGTACTGTCTGGTGGTATCATATTATTCATACCACGAACGGTAGCAGTATCATTTGCCATACGTTTGCTTCACACCTTATCAAATGTTTCTCGCAAGATTCGGTGACGCTAAGGGTGAATTCACAATACTCACAATCCTGTAACGGCCCCCTGCTAAAACATGAAACTATTTATGTACCACTAACTGGTTGTCACTACTCGTATACAGCATATAGTTATAGAAGCAAATCAAGTTATGGTTATGGTGTGAGATGCATTAATCGTCATTTCGTATGGCTGTGCTGAGAATGCACCTTCGGTGCTCGATTCTTCCGGATGTACGCAAACAAATTAAGGAAATCTTGTCTTACGGCTGTCTGTATTCTGCTCCCACCAAGAAGAAAAATACATGTGTACCTAGAATCGACAATTTGTTTCATCGCACTTGGTAGAAACTGCGCAATATTGACTATAATTATAGGGAGGGGCCAACGTACGGGATTTGCAGCGTAAGCCAGCAGCCGGGCTGTTTTTGAATACAGCATCTTTATCTCCCGTCCTGGAAAATGTGTCATCAGAATTGGTGGCGGGAGTGTGCAAATGCGCTGTACCACACAAAGGAAATGCATAGTGTTCTGACAATACCAAGTCGTCGCTGTAATGTCGCCTGCTGGCGGTTATAAATCTCCTCATCATCCAGATGCAATCTTTTTCGTCGAAATAATAGAAACAGGAAAATAGTACTGTAGACAATGCCCAAGACGGCTTCCGGAAGATATGTGCCAAAAATTGGTAAAATGCTGACGGTCGAATATGGATACGCAACAATCCGCAGTTGCCGGATGGCAGCATTCCGTGCACTCATTCCGGCATGACGTCCATCATTGGTAAACTTATTGAAAAAGCCACGGCCCAAACACAGAGCAATACCAAAAGTGAAATCCGGGGAGTCTAGAATTTTGTATAATAATGGTGCAGGACAATGGCGACAAAGCGGTTGATTGACAACGCCACTGCCGTCCAGTTGGCGTCGACGATGATAAGCAGTGTGACAACATCAACCACTGCACATGCGTATGGGAATTTTGTTTGACTTTGCGTTAGGAATATGGGAATGCTGGTTAACGGCATGATCGCTACACAGAAAACAAAATCTAGTGTTAAAGTATGGGCTACCAGTATCCGGAACCGTTCCATAATTTGCGCAGTCGGTACATTGCGATCACATAAGACAATGAGCACAGCCCCGACGCAGCCGATTAAGAACTGAATGGTAATCCAGGCGGTCTGCTCGGTTGGTGAAACGATTGCTGCAACTAAACGCGGAATCGCCACCGAAATATTCGAAATGTTCGACATCATGTTTTAGAGAAGCGTAACTTCAAGTAGTTATCTCGTTAAAATAATGCACTTTCGTAAAGGTCATACAAAGACATCTACAACTTAACCGAAAATGTGCAACATTATTGAGTTTGTATCACTGTAGAGTAATCTTATGCTTAACGGTATGTCTGCAATGACCTTTATTTTATAATGCAAAGCAAAATCACTACGGACCAAATGCAAGTGATCTGGGATACGACTCGATGATAGTCCAATATTTACTAATTTATACAGTAGATTTGTATTTCAAAGGAAATGGAAGAATAATCTAGAACATTCGCACTATAAATGTCGAACACAGTAATTCGACAACCTTGTTTACGCCGCTCAACCGAAGGTGCAGCTACCGTAGTTTAGTATACAGAACAATGTTCCGGAAATAGAATCCGGTTCTACGGCAAGAAATTTTTTGACGTGCTTTGGACATCGTCGGAGCACAACACGCCGTCTTTAGAACGGCATGTTTCAGTATATACTTATGGAGCCCCTTTTTATGTACATTTTCACGTCTAAAATATATGGTCTACGGAACTACAAGTATATTATGGCTTTTTGAAACTCAAGAAACACCCATCCAAAGGCATTTTCACGTCTAAAATATATGGTCTACGGAACTACAAGTATATTATGGCTTTTTGAAACTCAAGAAACACCCATCCAAAGGACATCTTTTGGATGAAAAGGCATGGGCGCTTTTTTTCGAATAGAACCGAGGAAGGAAAGAAATCTTATTATGGAAGGAAATGTGATTCGGTTGTCCATACTATCTGACGCTTGTTTATAAGTGATCAACTAAAAACAATAATTAGGAACAAACATCTGAAACGTAGAACATCGCTCCGGTCGCGAAATCAATACGCATGCGAATGCTGCACGTAGCAGTTCATGAGGAAAGGCAGTTTACCCAGGCGTAAAAGAAAACGGCAAAACTCATAATTATGGTCTCACTCAAAAAACAGCAAAAGCACGAAAAATTCAGGATTCTGTATTTTGTTTTAACGGCTGATTTGCTAACTGTACCGATACGTTTACACAAGCAATTTTGCAGTGTTATGGACACGCACCACAGTGCATTAAAAAATGATAATTAATTGACCAGCAGTCACCAGTTTCGGTGATTTAATGGAAGAACAATAATCAGCTGTAGTTAAATGCTATTACAACATAGGTGTCTGTACAAGATGTACATCCTGTAAATATTTTTTACGCAACGTTAATATACGCGAGTAATATGCTAAATACTTAATTATTATTAGAGACTGACTGATGTACATCTTGTAGTATATTCATCTTTAGTTGAGGAATGATCATTTTTAGCATAATATTACTAAACTATGTAGTTAACCAAGTTAAGTAATATTATGCCTGTAGTTATGGTATAATACGGGTGTCACTTTATTGCAATTTTAAACCACGAAAAGTTGTACGAGTTCAGTGAATTATGCAGCATTCGTGCTTCGAGTATTCGAACATACATATCTGCAAAATAAGCTAAATAACTGCATGATTAATAATTTCGAAGTTTAGCGTATGCTGGCCATGCGCCGCTGCATGCGTGTCACTGTGTCAAAAAATTTTGTCAGGTCTTGCAAAAAATGAAAATTAATAGCTTTTACTTCAGGCTAAGCTTTATATCACTGCATTAAGGTGTCCGTGCTACACCTAAAAAACAGCTTGCAACACGTTTACGATATTTTGGCATCGCACACTGTTTACACTGCATTCTTAAAAAAATAAACGTAATATCAGCAAAGCAACTTTTCAAAAAATAATTCATGGTATTGGCAGCATATATGCGCAGTAAAGGTACTTGTACTACAGAGTACTAATTAACTCACGGGTCTCGCTGCCGTTGGGTGGTACAATAATCACTTTTTGACAGGTGAAATTAATGGTCCTTGTTTTTGCTTTTTTCTTTTTAACTGACAACAGTGCAACGTTAACGGTTATTGCTCTCGGTACGTGCCCAGCACGTGAAGCCAAATTTTGTAAAGTGTGTGCCTTACATTAGCTAATTTGCTGTAATTATCTGTACGAAGGTTAAATTTCTGGTGAACTGTAATGGGTGAAAAACACGCAAGGAATAAAAAAAGACCAGCCTACTACATAGAAAGCATTGAAAATGGACTTTGATATTATCCTACATGAAGTGGGAGAATTTGGGCGCTATCAGATATTGTTGCTGGTCTTCATCATCATACCAGCATGTATACCCGGTGGAATGCACAGCTTTTCCCAGGTAACATCCATTTATTCTTGCTTTATTTCAATAGTAAATACGCTAAAACAGCAATTGTAATGTTTTGCTAAACTTGAGATGTCGTTTGTCAGTTGTTCCTAGTGGCAACGCCTGCTCATTCCTGCCGCATTCCAGTCAACGCCACGCAACAGAATACTTCCATCTTTATTCCCCGTTTAGTATCGAGCAACAGCCAGTGTCAAATGTACGACCTGGATTACAGCAACGAATCACTGCTGCAGTCATTCACGCCGTCTAACACCACTCCAGTTACCGGGTGTAAGTATGGGTGGGACTACGACCGCTCGGTGTACTTGTCATCTACCGTTACTGAATGGGATCTTGTCTGCTCGCATGCCTACCTCCCTACATTATCGCTCTCGGTGCACACCTTCGGCAGTCTTTGTGGCTCGTTGCTACTCGGGTACATCGGAGATCGGTTCGGGCGGAAAACTGCGTACTACATCGCCATCACGCTGCAGCTAGCGAGCGGAGTGGCCACCGCCTTCGCGCCAAACTTCCTGGTTTTCTGCGTCATCCGCTTCGTTAACGGGTTGACCACCATTCCGGTGTGGATCTTCCCGTTGATCATGGGGCTGGAGCTGATCGGACCGAGTCGACGCGCGCCGGTTGGAATTACCATGTCGCTGATCTATACGCTGGGTGTGCTGTCGCTTGGTGGGATTGCTTATTTCATCCGAGACGGGGTGACCTTACAGCTGACGGTGACACTGTCATTTTCGTTTTTAATCTTTTGGTGGTGGTTGCTGCCGGAATCTCCTCGGTGGCTGATGTCACAAGGCCGGTTTGAGGATATGGTGACCATTGTCAAGCAAGTCGCACGATGGAACCGTAAACAATTGACCGAAGAGCAGATCAACGTATGGCGGGGTGCATATGAAACCGAACGCAAAGCCGCATCATTGGATGCTGATAAGGTAGTCCGCTACAGTCCGCTCGATCTATTCCGTACTCCGAACCTCCGCATGAAAACCATTCTCATGATATTCAATTCATTCAGCAACAACCTCGTTTATAATGGCCTGAATTTTTTCGTTCCGCAGCTGGGGGACAACGAACACATGAGCTTCCTTTGGAGCTCCATTGTAGAGGTTCCCTCGTATTTTATACTGTACTTCACACTGGATCGCTTCGGTCGCAAGATGACTATTATGTCCACAATGTGCATTGGTGGAATGTTGAGCTTGCTAGCGGCTGTCACTGTCACCTTCGTGAACCATACTCCCATGATGGTGCTGGTGTTGGGTGCAAAATTCTGCATCAACTTGTCCTTCTTCATAGTGGACCTGATGGTCTCGGAATTGATCCCAACAGTAGTGCGCGGCGAGGGTGCGACGCTGACTCAGACGGTGTCGGCGATTGGTTTGTGCATTAGTCCTGCAATTAGCTACTGGGGACAACAGAACCAGATGGGTCCGCTGTTGTTATTCGGAGTGTTGGCGCTGGCGGGAGGGGCGGTTATTTTGCGGCTGCCGGAGACCGCCAATGTGAAGCTGCCGGATACCTTGCAGGAAGGGGAGGAGTTCGGAAAACACACTGCTTGGAGGGAAACGGTTAAATTATGCTGCCGCCAGTCCTCGCCTCATGAAAGTCCGGAGAGTGCCAACCCTGTGCCTTCTCCTGAACACGCTACCCTGTTGTCTTAATTATCTTCATAACCAAACATACAGCATGTAGGGCAGACTTTGGAAATGTTTGTATAATCTGAATTCATATTTTTCTTATCATTGTTTATCTGCCCATAATCATAAAGTTTTTCACCGGTAAAAATATCTGAACTATGCCGAAGGGTAATGCTGTTAATAACTTGACAAAGCCATAATAGCCATTCACACAAAGTAATTACAAATAGGAGGAGGAACTCGTAAATAATTTTTTGTGTGCTGTTTTTGTTTCTTTGAAGCCCTCAAGCTTACCGTGAAAACCCGCTTAAGAACGACTTTGAATCCTTGGCAGAGTCTGGAGAGTGTTTCAGTCTGATTCGGTTGGGCAGAACCGTAGCAGATCTCTTTAGTTGAGAACTTGAGATCCGATATCTTGTGGATTAAGTTCCGGACTTTGCTTATATTCAACGACCGGGATACAAACGTGACACGGTTATCGCTAATCACAAAAGAAGTATCGCCTACCTGTATGCGCTGGTGTCATAGAATATAATTTATAAAAAAACCAGCTACAATGCTGCCTGTACTTACATGAATATTCTTTCATCTGTTGGTAATTCATTAAATACTGCACAGCTTGCACATAGTCCGAATGTACGAGTATCAGACTATCCGTATCAGTTACTGCCTTTAAATAAGCTTGCTAGGCGTAGTGATATTTATTTGGAAATTCTGATCTCGTAAGATCTTTCAAAAAATGAAAAATTTAAATTTCAAATACCGAAGTTTTTCAGTTTTGACTTGCCATAGCTCCAAATAATAGGAGTACAGCTGACCGCACTGTGCAAATCCAAGGTACCGGTATGTAATTGTTAGTGATCAGGGTTAGAAAAGGATTAAAGAATCGTCGCAGCATTGGGAACAACCTGATCCTCGAATCAAACTGTTGTGGTTGGTTGGAAAATTAAGAAGCCAGAGATATAGCAGTCGTTAACCGATGATTATTCCCCTTCTGTAGTTATATTACAGGGTGGCTCCTGCTTTTATAATGAAACGTAAAGATTTGCTGATGGATAATTTCATAATGATGAGCAGTTTTGTTTGTTCTTACTCGGCGTTGACATACAGAGTGAAATACGATTATTAATATTTATTATAATAGTTATTATTAATATTGCCTGAGTGATGTACTGCTACTTAGTACCTTTTATGAATGCTTACTCGGAAATCAGAATGAGTAATGGTATACTTTTAAGTAAACGTTTAATCTACAGTACAAAAACACTGTACAGATAAGTGTGTGTTTTCCAGTGTTTGTCAATGGCGGTCATCCTTCGCAATGGGCTGCCATCGTTTCCTTTAACCGTTCTCTTTTTTAAAAGAGCCATGCATTTTTCAATGTCTTTTTTCAGTGCAGTTCTGTACTCCGTATGTCGTTCAAAATTCCGTATGTACAACCCGAAACGGCAACAGGAATGTAACTCCCGAAGACCACCATCAAATCACTAATAATTCCCTTCCCCAAAACCCTTCCACAATGGCCGATTGTTGGGTGTTTCCCATAAACTAAACCCGGGACAACGTTGGCCGTCGGAAGCACTATAACGATGGATATGACCCATGTAAAGAGGAGCGCAGCAAACGATACCCATCGAGAAGAGAATGCAGCATAATGATGAGGCAGAATTATAGCGATGAAGTGGTTGAGTGCGAGTGCCGCCCACGTCCAGTTGCTTATACCGACGTTGACCAGCAAGGAAGAAATATACCGGCGAACAGTAGTAGGTAACTGTGACGCGCATCTGCGTTAAGTAGACTAGCAGTGTGATGGTGGGCGTGCTAACAACGCAGAATATAAAGTCTGTGGCGACAGAATGCAGAATCAGTACGCCAGAGCCGCTTTTCCATTTCTTCAAACGGTACATTATTACTAAGAACACAACCATCAGAACAGCAGCCAAACTACCTATGCCAAACTGTACTCCAATCCAGATATGCATTTCTAATGCAGATAGCGTTTCAGGCAGTGGCAAAGAGCCGTTCGACACATTCGACGTGTTGGAAGTTTTGTTGATCATTTTCCCGTAGAGATTAAGCTGACGATGAGACGTTAGACTACTCCAGACGTAGAGACGGCCAAACTGAGCGTGCACAAAACACTACTCGGTGACTACTGTGCGAGTGTGCCGGCCGCGTTGTCGTAATGTTTCTGAAATGGGAAGCCGTTCTTTGAAACGCCGGAAATAATTATGGTTGTTAATACGAGTATCTTTGCAGTTCTTTGGCACAGTAGTCAAGTTCATGTAAGCAGCAGTAATCTGGATCAAATCTGCTGCAAGCTGCATAAGGTCGCCATGCAAGGGATTTAACGAACGGATCGGCGCACTGCTTTCGTGATCTGAACCAGATGTGTCTGGAGTGTGCTGCTATTTATTATAGTAAGTATATTGCAAATATCGCGGGTATCGCTTCGCAGTTTCCCCTGAACGAGGGATGTAGAGTATAACTGCCACGCGTGCACCGTACCTATGAGTACGTATACAAGTATTATTTTGACCGAGTTAATCATTCGAAATGTTATGGGCTGTCAAATTTCGTATTATAAAAAACGCCCTTCAACGCAGGTGTGAGAAAGTTTTATTGCGCAAGAAAAAGTTAGAATATAGCTCAGTTTGTGGTTAAGGCTTAAGGCAGTAAATTTATTATCCGGTTAAACAACACAATTAAAACCATCCGTTGGTTTAATTTCTTCTGCATTCACCGAAGCGATAGGAGAATGAGTATCCATATTGATAAATTCGCGACCGGTTTTCTCCGAAACAACAATTAGTCAGCAAAATAGGTGCTCGTCCCGTAATACGGAAAATTTCGTGCCCGTAATTGGAGTAAAAGAATGAAACAGTGAATCGTTAAAAATAGCTACGACTCCAGGGTTTTTAATTCGATACATATGGTACTCGAATATCATTTCCTTAAGTTATTACACTAAACTCTAGCAGTTTCAAGGTATATTTAACACATATTTCCCGCTTTTCGATGAGTGCTTGTGGTCAGATTATTAATAAATTAATACAAAGCATTAAACATTTCAGTTAAAATGTCGCTCAAGTAAGTAATGTTCTTGCAGTGTTGTCTCATGTGTGGCTATAACATAAGACATCTTCAAATACAGAATTTTCTTAAGGGTAAGGGCAAACAGGGCGCCACAGTACATTTTTATGGTTAATGGAAACTTAGCCCTTGGGTTATAACTGCAGAAGGCAGAAGAAGATCAAGGATTCGAGAATTTTGATTTTACTATAATGGCAATCCATTTCATAGACCAAGCGGAACGACCGAACTGGAGGATAGGAGAAGGGAAAAAAGCAGATGGCTAACAGTAAGTTTTCCTAAAAAACCTCACAGCCGCTGCTTTTGCTTGCTCCTTTAAAGTGCCAGGAATTTGCATAGACAAAGGATTTGGACTTTGTTTGAGCATTATAACTTGTCAGATTCTTTTCTGCAACTGAAGTTTCTCGGTCCCCCAATACTGCGAAAACAGGAAAGGAATTATTCCAAATTTTTGTTGGAACACTGCATTTAGAAATTGGAACGGTTCGTTCTTTTCCGTTGAAAACAAGGCTAGTTGAAAACAAGTGTGTTCCTTTGTGTCGATAGGTCACATGGTTAGCAGGGAGTCATGGACTGAGGACATTTACGGATGTTGAATTCCAGTGGTAAAGTAAACGGCAAAAAAGGCTGGCATTGGCAGAAAATGCTGACATTCACACGACTTTAATAATTAATACCCATCTGACTGGAAGTCTAAGGAGATGCTAGCAAGGCAGCGCGCTGTACTTCACTGAAAGGTGGAAAAGTGTTGGACGTGGACACCGTTCTTAATAGTAGATTGCAGCTATAGAGTTTCGAGCTCTTAATCAGAAAGGAAGTAAGGGAAACTGCCGATACCGTGGACTGCGGCTCCCTGAGTGTCAAGCCCATCTATCTGTTCGACGAACTGGGAAGAAAAATGGGAAATTGATGGGAAGAAATATCACCAGATAGGTGGTCGATTACGATTTCTTTGGTAAGGACAGCGTAAGACATTACCAGACGACAGAACCGCAAGGGAGTGGAGAAGCGCAGTTTCAAAACCATCATACTGTTTATAGCAAACATGGCACCTATGGCACGTTTAGTATACGTTAAATTTTTCCGGGCATGTGTTTTTACTTGTATCCACAGTATCTCACCGTATTCCACAGTATCCTCTAAATTTTCTTCTTTTTTTAATCATTGCAGTATCCCGCCGTATCTGTGCAGTATCCGCTATGCATTCCAGATGTATTCCATTAGGAGGCCTAAGAATATTATCCGGTTACTCGACGGATACAGCAAGGATACGTAAAGATACGTTGGGATACTGCAGTTGCTTATGACCCTTAAACCTGTATTCAGCAGGATACAAGAAAGATACATGAAGATACGTAAAAGATGCTGTGGGATGCGGTGGGATACTGTGGTTTTCGCATCCAAACATCACTACGCATTCAAACATCACTATGCAGTTACGTATTGCAAATATAAATATTCCTAATGTGGTCACCTTTTTGGCTAGCGTATCCTCACAGTATTCTTTGCGTATCCTCCATGTATACTTTGTGTATCCCGTTTTCTTATGTTTTTTTTAGGTTTCGTAGGTTTTCTTAGGTTTCTTAAGTCTTTTAGCGGGTTTCGTTTGGGATACGCACAGGATACTGCAAGATACGGTGGGATACGGCAACAAAGAAAAAAGAAGTCAAAAACTGAAAGGATACATTAAGCATACGTAGAGGATATCGTCGGATACGGCGGAATACTGTGAGTACAAGCAAAAAACATATGCCTCGAAAAATTTAATCTGTACGAAGTCGTCCATATCTACACATGGGGAAAATCGTTTTGACCGGTTAAAGGTACGTCACTGTGTTACGATAGTGATTCATGTCCACTGTGTTCATGACTATTGCCTTTAGCAATTCCAGTGAGCTGATTATCTAGTTCTAAAACCTAGATGTTCTACCGTGAGAATGCATTGTCTAGCTATATAAGTCACAGCACTGTCTGTGATTTATACAATGTACAATTTATACAATTTATGATGTACATGCGTGTGTAACTACCTTAGCACGGTATGCTCAACCCACAATAAACATCACGTTTCAAATGCATCAGTTGATTGTTTATGTACCTACTTGATATATAGTTTCATATTTTTCAGTTTTGGATTACGATTCTCACGCAATAAACATCTGTGTCTGAGGCGGAAGGTCTGACTTCCCACACTTACAGTGCAAGAACTGTGCTTCAA